ACGCCTGCCACGCAAAAGAGGCGGAGACCCAGGGACGCCAGCGGAACCCCGGGGCGTACATCCGACCCCTTGGCAGTGCACATTGTCCCACGCCTGCCACGCAAAAGCGGCGGAGACCCAGGGACGCCAGCGGAACCCCGGGGCGTACATCCGACCCCTTGGCAGTGCACATTGTCCCACGCCTGCCACGCAAAAGAGGCGGAGACCCAGGGACGCCAGCGGAACCCCGGGGCGTACATCCGACCCCTTGGCAGTGCACATTGTCCCACGCCTGCCACGCAAAAGAGGCGGAGACCAGGGACGCCAGCGGAACCCCGGGGCGTACATCCGACCCCTTGGCAGTGCACATTGTCCCACGCCTGCCACGCAAAAGAGGCGGAGACCCAGGGACGCCAGCGGAACCCCGGGGCGTACATCCGACCCCTTGGCAGTGCACATTGTCCCACGGGGCGGAGACCCAGGGACCCAGCGGAACCCCGGGGCGTACATCCGACCCCTTGGCAGTGCACATTGTCCCACGCCTGCCACGCAAAAGCGGCGGAGACCCAGGGACGCCAGCAGTGTGTGTGTGAGTGGGTGAGTGTGAGTGAGTGAGAGTGAGAGTGAGTGAGTGTGAGGTGTGTGTGAGTGGGTGAGTGTGAGTGAGTGAGAGTGAGTGAGTGAGTGTGAGTGAGTGAGAGTGAGTGAGCGTGTGTGTGTGTGTGAGTGAGTGAGTGTGAGTGAGTGAGTGAGAGTGAGTGAGTGAGTGAGAGTGAGTGAGTGTGAGTGAGTGAGTGTGTGTGAGTGAGGAGGTGTGTGTGTGTGTGTGTGTGAGTGAGTGTGAGTGAGTGAGTGAGTGAGAGTGAGTGAGTGTGAGTGAGGAGGGAGGACGGGAAGGAGGAGGAGGAGGACGAGGAGCGGATACAGAACTAAAAACAAAAACCCCACACGTCAATGTGGGGAAATACAATTCTGCAAGGTCCTGTTCTTGAAGCTGGATTATATCATATGACAGTCATTGTAAGTTACTATAGTTTAGTTATGAGATGTTATGAGTATTTATGAATATTTATGAGTCAAAGTTACACAAAATGGATCAAAATGGAAGATAGATTCAGAAAACGCTACAAAACTGTATTTGTACATGGACATTTACTTGCAAAAACATGATGCAAACCCGATTTCAATAGTCAATAGCTGAAATCGCATTGAGGAGCGCACGGATACCTTGGCCATTCTTGGCCTGTTACTGTAGCATGCAGTGCATGCACTTGCAGATGATTTATATAATATACTGTACTGGAATGTTGCCAATCATACAGCTTTTCGCTAATCGCTGCAGGCAGTCCGATCATTTTGCCAAGAATCATATATATAGTTTCATATCTTATATATCAGAAGCATCTTGATATGGCCAGAATTCACACAAAAGAGATGAATCCAAACAAAGTCCAAAAACCAAAAATGAGGCCTATAGTCTAGTCACTGTTTTGCACAACTGCAAGACTGGGCCCACATGCCTTGAAGAGACGAAGCATTTCACTTCATCCAAAGCAAATTCGGGCTCATCACGCGCTACTTGTGAAAGGAATGCAGACCCCCGTGCTGGTTTTCCTCCCTGAATCCCGTCCAAAGTGAATTAAAAATGAATAAAAATGAGCTAAATGAACCTGATTTTTGGTAGCGCGGTCCCGACCAAACAAGCCTCTGGTGATACATTCGATGTTTTCATCCCGCCTTTTCCATCCTTACATTCGGTTCGGAGTCAAAATCAAAATACACCATTATACTGAATGTATACGTTGCATAGAAGGACGTTGCCCTGCCATGCCCTGCCGTGTCAAGCCGCATGGGTTGCAGATCCGTCAGCTCTACGGCAAGTTTGCTTCTGTATTAGTTGCTTGCAAGACCCTATATACCACATCATCATTAATAATGAAATATTATGAATATGTCACAATCAATTCTAGATGCCATATTTGAGTGCCATGCGAATCTAAAGGCCGCCATGTCATGCTGTTGGGAGTCAGAGAATTTGGAGACGGATCTTGCCCAACCTGCAGAGAAGACAATCTTCATTTTGTTTGATGATGTTCGGTGCATCTGCATATGAGCAGCGTTCTAAATTTCCCTTTACTTGTTTAGTATTGGGCTGGCATACATTCCATCAAGTCGTAAGACTTTCCTTGGGTTTCGTAAGCAGTGCGAAAGGTTCGACGTAAGCATTGGTCACAAACATGTTGCCGTAAGCCATTCAGAAGTCGATGCCGGGCTATGCGAGCTGGGGTTCAAATAAGCATTGTGTGCTTTGTTTGGTGCATGTCATTGAATGTTGTTGTTGATGATGATGATGCCATTGCATGTAGGGAAAGCAGACGAGAACAAATGCTACTTTCTTCACGGCCCTAGTTTTTTTATGAGATCGGAATTTGCCGTAAGCTCGGCGTAAGCAATCCGTAAGCTAGTCGTAAGCGAATGTTGCATTCACTGACCCCTGGCCCATTGTGATTCCTTTGCAATCCTTTGCAAGTGAATCTACGTTTAGGTTTTCTCTACCCACCCATACAAGTGAGCTCAAGGCTGCCTCTACCCATGTGACGCGTGCACCTTAAGGGCTGTGCATATTCTTTCACACTCCCCCCAACCTGCTTTCCTCAACTTGGCAGCCAAGGCTTCTGGCTTTCCCAAGGTATACATATCAGAATCATTGCATATCCCCAATGCTGTTTTGCCGTAAGAGATGCATAAGCTAGTTCTTTGAAGTTGTTGCGGCGTAAGCAAAACCTTGGAAAACGCAAGCGATTGTAAGCTCTTACGTAAGCTTTGGATTCTCGGTCAGGAGATCAAAAGGAATTTTGAACACAGCTCATATGGTGCATTTTCTCCTAAGTGCCCCTTGCAAAATGGAGGCGCTTTCTTGCACCGGCTGGTGGCCCAGACAGATTCAGGAAATTATATATCTATAAAATAAATTTGACATAATTTGACAAGAGTGACCAGAGTCCAAGCCTGGGATCTTTGCGATGTGAATTTCTATGAGATTCCGAGCTTAGTTCAGTGTTCGTAACGTTTGCTGGCATTGCACCTTTGCTCTGTTGCGCTGCTCGAGCTGAGGCGGTGTTCCAGCGGGACCCAAGCCCAGCAAAGACTGTGAAAACCAAGCTGTTGGAGGAGGCAGGCAGAGGGAGGGAGAGAGAGAGAGAGAGAGCGCCAGCGCAGCCACAGAATATATAGTTGTAGAGCAGTCGCAGCAAGCCTGTGATGATTGTCATATTTGTTACATTTTGTTCACAAACCCTTTGTGGTGGGCCAAAGTGTACAACACTGTATTCACTGTGCTATACTGTGCAAAATTGTATGTGTGGCAGAAAAAAGCCTTGTTCATTCGTCCTGGCTTTGTTTTGCCCTGGTCCTGGCGGCAAGTTTGTGAAGAACTTTCATCAGCTGCCGTTCGTTTTACTATGCGAGTTGCAATTCTGTGTGAAACAGATGAAATGTACTACACATCCTTAGGAGGGCCAGCCAACAAACCATATAATGAGCTTCCACTGGAGGTTGCAGCTCTCAAAGAATTGCTGGACAAGTCATCCTTTCCGGAAGGCACGCTCATTGTAACCAATGAGGAACCAGTGCTGCTTTGTGAGCCTGATTCTGATTTATTCCAGTTTTTCCCCACATCACTGTGTGGGGTTCTTGTTTTTTTCTTGGATCCCGCCGCCTTCCGCCGCCTTCCGCCTCGCCCCCTCTCACACTCATCACAGCTCTCACACTCATCACAGCAATACTCATCACAGCAATATTCTTCACACCACTCATCTCACCTCCCTCATCACAGCACACCTCACTCATCACACCACAACACCACAACTCATCACAGCACGCCAGCAATACTCATCACACCACTCATCTCACCTCCCTCATCACAGCACACCTCACTCATCACACCACAACACCACAAATCATCACAGCACCCCAGCAATACTCATCACACCACTCATCTCACCTCCCTCATCACAGCACACCTCACTCATCACACCACAACACCACAACTCATCACAGCACGCCAGCAATACTCATCACACCACTCATCTCACCTCCCTCATCACAGCACACCTCACTCATCACACCACAACACCACAACTCATCACAGCACCCCAGCAATACTCATCACAGCAATACTCATCACACCAAACTCATCACACCACTCATCTCACCTCCCTCTCACTCTCACACTCATCACAGCAATACTCATCACACCACTCATCTCACCTCCCTCATCACAGCATTACTCATCACCACACCTCTCTCCCACCACTTATCACACCTCACTCATCACACCACAACACCACAACTCATCACAGCACCCCTTCTCACACCTCCCTCATCACAGCATTACTCAGCGTCACAGCACCCCTTCTCACACCTTCCTCATCACAGCATTACTAACCACACCACAGCACAACTCATCACAGCTGGCTTTCGCGCCGCTGGGCCGCGGCTGGCTTTCGTGTGGCAGGCGCTTTACACAGAGCATGGAGGAGCTGCGGCGCGCGTGGCCGCCGCTTGGGCCGCGGCTGGCTTTTGTGTGGCAGGCGCACTACACAGAGCCTGTGGCACACGTCGTGTGGCAGGCGCACTACACACAGCCTCCTGGAGGAGCTGCGGCGCGCGTGGCCGCCGCTTGGGGCGCGGCTTGCTTTCGCGTGGCAGGCGTGCTACACAGAGCCTCTTGGAGGAGCTGCGGCCACCATCTTTCACACCATCTTTGACACACCATCTTTCACACCACTTTGTCACACACCAGCTTTCACACCCATCTTTGTCACACACCATCTTTCACACACACCGTCACAGACCATCTTTCACACTCCATCTTTCACACACCACTTTGTCACACACCACTTTGTCACACACCATTTGTCACACACCACTTTGTCACACACCATCTTTCACCACACCACCTTTGTCACACACCATCTTTCACCACACCATCTTTGTCACACACCATCTTTCACACACAACTTTGTCACACACCATCTTTCACCACAGCATCTTTCCTCCACCTCCTCCTTTGTCATTCCTTCCTTCCCCGTCCCCGCTACAACATGTCTTGCTCATTATTGGAAGAAGTTGACTTGTGGGGTTATCCGGTCCTTTTATTTTAAATATTTTTAAATAAAATGTGATAATATTCACTAGATTTCGCTAGATGTCAATAGTGCTTCCTTTGACAGGCAGGATTCCTCATCAGGATTCGCCAGCTTTGTCACACATCCTTTGTTCGCTTCGCTGCTGATTCACAGTCAAGATTGGACAGAGTCCATTATGGTTTCGCTTCGCTACCCCCGGGATCCCCAGGGTTTTTCAAGAATAACAATAATAAACAATAACAATAAACAATAACAATAAACAATAAAATGAACATCATTAGAGAGACCCAGAGTCTGTTGCAGCAGCAACAGAAAGACCCAGTGCAAATTCATACCACTGGGCACGCGCATATGCTCACAAACTCCTCATCCATCACCTAAAGAATTTAAAGAACAGGTCATGCAAGATCATGCAAGTAGCGACATGCGAAAACCGTGTCGACAGCAGGGTAAGTACTTGCTGAGTCAGAGTCTGAAGAGTTTACACACCAGAAACAGAATCAGTAAAATCGGTGAACAAAGGCACACAACTTTTGGGAATTAAGCCTTTGTGCCAAAAGCCGTTCTAGACAGTTTGTTCAACAATGCGACCAATATGCACGATTGTGCAGGTATATAATCATATGTATGAACGGTATATACAGTACATCTAGAAAACAGTTTTCAAGATTTTTCAAGATATCCCAAGAAAAACAATCTGACATTTACACCAGCCGCAGCCGCCGCCACCATCGCCACCGCCACCAGCAGCAGCAGCAGCAGTAGCGGCAGCACCACCACCACTACATGACCCGGTGGCGTAGCATCAAACTCTGCTTTTGGATCATTTATGCTCCTCATCAATGACCGGTCATAAAGCTTGGTGGATGGACTGCTACTGGTATGGCAAGTGAGGTTCAAGACGATTTGCCTTTGATTTGATTCCCTTGGACTCCAAAAAGACGTGGAGGGTTTTTTTTAGTAGAAACATTGTGCATCAGTATATAGTCCCAGCACTTTTTGCAGGTAGCCTGTTTGCTGCCCTTTCACAACTCAAGGAGTTGCACGGGATGTTAGAGGCCTGGGAAGCATGTGCAAGTTAGCTGCTGTACCAAACAATTATAAAGTGTGATGTCACGATCAACCCGCTATATGAGGGAGGAAACTGGGAAACTGGAAACCTGTAGTTTCCTGCAGGACAACTACTGAGTTGTTGAAGGCGTACCGTGGTCCAAATATGTCCAAATCACATGGCAAGGCCAAAGCAGAGAGTCAGCCACAGATTTGCGACGCTCCTCCGGATGAAATCAGCAAGGGCGCCAGGATCAGCATGAAAGTAGTGCTTCAACAAGCGGCCGACAAGTGTAGCAGTAGCAGTTTGTTTTGCAATGATATCGTACTTACGCAGGCACTTCCACTAGTGAGTCTCACCAACTCTGGAAACACCCTACTTGTTTAAATCTTGGACTGGATTCTGTTCAGTCAATAGCATGCCCTGCAAAGTCAGCTGGAACGGTACAATAACAAGGGACCCATCGAGCTGTTTTGACGTACTCGTACCACAGGAATATAAAGATACACCGTGGATCACCATGGTATCTGTACCAGATCGCATCAGCATGTGGGATTTTGATGCAATCTGGTACAGATACCATGGTGATCCACGGTGTATCTTGCCTACAACAGCAGTCTTGTGAAAGCAGTATATATAAAACAATAATATGCAGTACAGTAATTACATGTAATGAAATTCTTTACTTAAGTAAGATATATACATATGATTCATATGATTATTACATATATAACATTATAAGATATTATAAGATTATATAAGTAATTAATCATGATATTATATAATATATATTTAATATACATTAATATACATAAGTGGAATGCTTGAGATTGAGACTCAGGTGTGCAGAGCCCGAGCGACATAGAGAGCGTTGAAGTGTGCAGGCTCTCGGATTGTACCTTTTCTCGTGCTTTGATCTCCAACGGATTTTTGGATTGTTGTTACAAACATTGTTTGACGTTGTTTGCTTTGAGCACAAATTATGTTTTTCACGTTCCCATTGCTGTCCCACAGGTCTCCAGTCTTAAAGATAGAAGTTCTTGAAGCAACTGCACGGGCTAGCTTAATGCCCGACAATCAGGGTTTTAGGGTCAATTGAAATCCATAGTCACGCTGTATCACACTATCTCCTGTGTTAGTTGTTCGTTGATTTGGTTGTTTGCTTTCATCAGCACCACCTCCGCAGTCAATGAGTCCGCACTGTAAAAGCCAAACATCGAGCAACCTCAGTTTACATACCAGTAGTTACTTGCAAGTTCAGTTTGAGTGCCCTAGGCATTTTGTCAGAGGTCACGGAGACAAATGACAGCTCCACTGCAGACACCAACTGTCTTGGATGTTGTGGTGCTTGTCAAAGCCAAAGGTCTTGTGTTGGTTTGATTTGGGAGAATCCCATGTCCTCGGATAATTTTTTACTGGTTTTGTATGCAGGAACATGCAGGAACATAGTTTAAATTTCGGGGACTCTGGGCTCACGTAACTGGTCCTGATGTGAAACACTGGGTTCCTGCTGCGAAGTTGCTCTCCAGACAGGCCGCCTCAACAGGACTGCCGCGTGTGCTGTGGGGTGTGGGATTTGTGGAGACCGGCACAGGGACAATGGGGCACCTCAATGGATTAGGGCCAACATTTTCCCGCAGTTTCCGAGTTTCCTTTTTAAAAAGATATTGAATTGAATTGATATGATAAGATGATGCCCTTCTCAAACCGATCATATGATGATAATGCCTAATCAGATATCAGGCTGCAAGCTTGAAATTTAAGCAGCAAGGGCTCGAAGATCTCATGAGGATTGCGATTTTTTGGCGACGCTCCGTTCAAGAATTGTTGGTTGCTATTTAGATCTGAGTGTTCTACACTAAAGCCAAGCTCAAAAAGGGTCGAATCTCTTCATGGCATCGCTGTGGAGTCCTAGACTACATGTCCCATCAACGAATTGGCTCCTTGGATCTTCATGGTGAAATTCAATTTGATGAGCAAGTTTCACCGATCACTATGAAGCTCCAGGCAGCGAGAGCAAGAAAGGCCAAAGCAGAGCTCTGCCCCTAAGGGTTTCAAGAGCTTGCTGTACCATGCTCTGACCATGGACTAGTCTGAACATGGTCTAGATATTGTCTAGATACTATTTGGTCATACTTTACCAGACAGAACCAAAGGTAGCAAGACCAAATCCATCTCCAAAGTGCATCAGGTCCCATTCGGGTAAAGAGATGGAAAGAGTATGTGATGTGAGATTTCTCGCAAGTTGGTACTCAGTCCTGTATTACAGTATATATATATACACTATATTATATCCACAAACATCACAAACCGTAGTACAAATAATGCAATACAGCACATCCTGATGCATCCTGATCCATCCTGATCCATCCTGGTCCTGGCCATTTCGGGACTCGAGCAAATTGGTGGTGTGCTGATGTTTGCTGTTGCCTTTTGAATCTTGGTGCTCAATTTAGGCCGAAACAGCTGCAAAGACCAATCAAAGCTGCCAAAGTGAGAGGTCCCAGGGGAAAGCTTTGGCAAGAGCGTTGAGAGCTCACCAAACATTGCCAACTTTTGGCCTACATCCCAATAGGTCTCAGTGCAAATTGGTTCCTAATTTGTTTATTTTGTTTCTGGTTTTGTTTTTCAACGCCTTTGCATGCTCTACATTGCTCTGCAGTAGTGAGGTTTTCCATGGACTTCTTGGCGTCAGATTGAAGTGTCTCGCGTCAAAAGACATCAACAACGTGACACTATGTGACACTCATGTTAAAACGGAGAAATCTTGCTGTTGATTGCTGTATGACCAAGTGATGCCCCGAGTAAGTATCCTACCGAGTATCCCACTGAGTATCTCCCAGTGTCAGTGTTGTGTAGAGTCAGCTGGATTGTCTGTAAGTTGTATGGTTTGTACATGTTTATGAAAGGTTCGCTTGCAATCCTACGTCCATTCAGTCGGTGTACTCCTACATCCCTTCAGTCGGTGTGATCAAGTTAGCATGTGAGATTAAGTCTTTGTTGGCACCTGAGGAAGCAAACGAATGTCAAAGTCAAACCTTTTTAAAGTTCTGACAGAAAGTGTGGGCTCGACTTGCTAGGAAGGAAACTGCCGTACCGTTGCTGTTTGTGTCCTTGCAACAGTCTCGTTCCATAGCATGCACAGAGGTCATGGTGTTTGGGAGTACGTTAGACAAGGAAGGTGAGCTAGATGCCAATGTTGATGGCATCCCCTTAAATATCCTTCAATCATGTCTGAAATCCGAATCAAATGGAACTGATAAGAGCTCATCACGATTTGATACAGATTGTGGATCAACTGTCAACCTTGACTTGCTGGCAGCATTGGTGATCTTTGACCATGTCTTCTGTAGCACTCTGTGTACTGCACTGAGTTTCTTTGTTAGTTCTATATAGTTTGTGTGTAATTTATTTTCAGGATATCTTGTTCTACCTCAGGCAAAGGCCTCATCCTGCCCAAAGTTCTCCAGACGTGATAGAGAGGACTGTCTGCATGTGTCACATGTGTAAGAGTTTGAATGTGTGTGTGTGTGTTTGTGTGGACATGAACCCTAAAAAAGTTCATGCTTGTAATCCAAACTCTACTCAGAAACATGTAAATGATGTGCAAATTTGTAGAATATGTATAAATCATATGATTTAAGTTATGTATATATATATATGTATATGTATTATTATTATATATATATGCATTTAATGCTAATTTACATATATCATATGTACAAGTATGTATATCATTGATTTGAAATTTGCAGCCTTGGAATTAGAACATCTTAGAACCAAGTATATCATATTTAGTATATCAAAATATGATGGTATGATGAATTTAGCCTTTGCAACACCGACTGACTCTAAGAAGGGAAACATGTCATGCTCAGTCGAAGTAAGGTCTGTGTGACCTTCCTTTGTCCAAACAGTCACACTACCTGTGAAAACCAAGGCTTTGAACAGAAGTGCATGCATCCAAAATTATCTAAAATTTATGTAAACAATGAACAACATGGAATTGTATAAAATGACGTGTAGAAATGATTTAGGCTTTAGCATGCTTCAGATATGTTTATCTTCAAATGCATGAAAAGCAGAGGAGTCATGCAGGGCACCTGTCAAGTGTTTTTGTCAAAGTCCTGAAACTAGTCCTAGTTCTTCCGAAGGATTCGTCAGAACTTTTGACGAAGCTCATGGACGCAGCGGACTTCAACAGTAACCAGCAAGGCCAAGCGATGATAGCGATACCTTCGGTTTCACATTGAAATGTTTTCACCCCAATGATTGTTCCTGATGCATGACAAGACTCATGACAAGTATTTTGACAATATTATTTTCGATTTTCAATTGATATCTGCCATTTTCTGCATCCGATGTCATTTTCGACTTCTCCAACTCAGGGTATGTGTCAGGAAACAGACAGGCAAGCCACTGCCTAGTCTGGCTATGAAGCTTCTTTCAATGCTTTGTCACAGGGCAACGAATTTCTGCTGTGTTTTCCAAGGATCCTGTTCCGATGAAGATGTTGACCAGTTGCTATCAATCAGCATCTTCACGGGAGTATTTGTCCATTCAGTTTCGACCTGCTTTGACCAGCTGGTTGTTATCCTGGTTGCTTTGAAGATCTTTTAAAGATGTCCGAAATGATTTCAAACTTTCAAATCTTCATGTGTGTTTTTATAAATTGCTTTTCATTCAAGTGGGCAGGGGGCACAGAGCGGTTCAAGGTGCTCATGGCGGAGGCTCCTTGACATTGCAAGTCGAAGAGTTTGTGTGGTTTCCCATAACGAGGCCCTCCCGTCCCCAATCACCCCGTCTGAGGTTGCGCTTGTTTTTTTGAGGCTTACTCAAGCTCAGTTGTAGGATGTTGTAGGATAGTTTGGGTGTGTCTTCATTTTGTTTGCTTGTCCGCCTCCGGATCCCCATTGTCCCTATTTAAAATTTACCCTATTTGTCCCTTGGCTGTTTGTGTCCTCCATTCTTATCATTCTTCCCAAAGCTGTTTTGGGTGTGCGTTCTTTGGTTTTGCGGACAACTTGACCTGACCTTACTCTTCATGGTGGAATTCTTCAGCTGACGTCAGGCCAAAAAGCTCGCACCAGTGGAGAAAAGGGCCGCCTTGGAAGAGGCTACAACCTGGAAGGAAAGGAACTCACCTCAGGTTTTGCAGGGAAGGAAAGATACTGAAGAATAGCAAAAATATGCAAAAACATCGCATTTGTCGATGTTTGTCGGAAAAAATATGAACATGATGCAAATTCAACGAAGACAAACAAGTCTGTGATGCTCATGGAGTTTGCTCGCAGCATCCCGCAGCACAACCTGGTCAGGTGGTTCGCAAGAACTTCTTAGCAAAGACTCCTGGGAGGCATCGAGAATGCCTTCGAAAGATCATCACGGAGTGGAAGGCTTGGCACTTCCTGGGACCGGACCTGCTGCAGATCCATAGTCTTCTGCAAACTCGTAATGCAGTTGCATTGCCCTTGCACTTGGATGGTGTACTTCGATGTACTTCGTACATATTTCGTACATACTTCGTACATCACTGTACAGTCGTGTTATGTCGTGTCATCATTTGGCCACTGAACCGCCCTCGTTGCCTTCGCTTTCCACATGGCTGAGAGATGCTGAGAGGCTGAAGGTTTGTAATTGAGTGCTGTACTCAGAGGCCGCCCATCGGCCGTGTGCTAAGGCAGTGTGAAATCAATTAATTTGACGCACCAAAGTCACTTAGTGATCTTAGTGACATTCTTTTTGGGACAGTTCAAAAAGCCTGCGTAGACATTCGGAGACCCAGAACTGCAAGACTACAAGGCACACCTTTGCACAGCTGGAAATAATGACTGAGTCAATCCTCTGGGTTTAGAAGTCATCATTGAGGTGCAAAAGTCCTTGGGGCTGCAGCATATGGGGGCAACATATGAGCAGTTCAATGAAAAAGGTGCGAGAGCATCGAGAGCTACCGTCCAAGAGCCTGAACCGGGAGACTTTTTCCAGCACTTATACTCGTCACAAAAAAGTAAACAAAAGTATGCAAACGTGTAATTTCATGTAATTTCGTTTCTGGTTTGAGTTCTCAAACAGTTCTGAAATACGTAAATCCATAGCCGTAGCCGCTGCATGTGTCGGCGTATGTCGGCGTCATGATCTGCAAGAAGCGTATGCGTTTGGGATCAATCACGGGCACCAGCTAGATAATTTGGCAAGCAATCAGCAAGGGGTTGTCATAATTTTGCTGACCTTCCAGTCTTCGAATGTTATGGTGTTGAGCTACAAATAGAGACATGCATGAATTATGCATGCACATGGTGAGACACTACCAGTAGCAGCACAAGTATAGCTTGATTTGGAGCAGACAAAAATCCAGGGTATAATAGAACGGGCTTGCGCCCGGGTGCCGCCGACCCCTCCTTCTTTGGGGGGGGCGGTGGCCGCAGCCGTTTCACCAATCTCCGGTGCTTGGGATATCGACATTAAAGAGGAACCTCAAGATGCCCCGTTGGAAAGTCGAGGGCCTCGAGGTCTGGAACCATATATATTTATATATATATATATATATCATGACTGACAGATACTGAAAGCAACCATCAGTCCATTGTATAGTAAATCATATTGGAAGCAAGGTGACGAATTCCAGGTTGTCACACTGCAGGCTGTTATGGGCAATGACGAAGGGCGACACCATCCACCACGCGTTTGGTTTAAACTGGCAAGGCCTTGGCGATGAGCGCATTAGCGGGCACAAGCTTCTCGACCTGAGCGCCAAAGCGTTGCGTTGGCGATGGCTCATCATTGATGAGATCAGCATGGTTAGCGCTGAGCTTTTGGCTCGGTTAGAGTTGTGTTGCCGAGAGTTGGTCCGCGATCTCGCCCAAAGCAAGTACGCAACGGATGCAGCATGTGCTCGTCCCTTTGGAGGGTTGAACGTTATTCTGGCAGGTGATATGTGGCAGCTGCCACCGCCACGTGGAACTTTTCAGGGAGATGTCCCATGGTAATGGTTGACGCAGTGCAAAACGAAGAAAGTAGCCCATACCATCCACGGGCAAGAGTTGGTCTGGGGATGTCTGGGGCAAGTCCCCGGACGGAATCCATGGCGTGACAGAACTGGTGGAGTGCGAGAGCGCCCAGGATATTTGTGGTTGCAGAGTCTACAAAACGAAGTACGAAACGGTGCGTTCTCCGAGACGAACCGCGCATTCTTACATGGCTTTAGCCACGCCGGTACCTGGAAGCTGGAACAGGGACTAGAGTGCAACCAGTCTGCGTGCCACAAGTTGCTCAAAGAAAAAGCAGCGCCAAAAGAAATCCTTCGTTTCGAATGCAACGTGTGCAAAAACGAACGCTAATCCAAGGCCAGAGTTGCAGACGGTTCCACTGAGGCCTCTGCAAAGCTCGCCCGGGCAAAGCTATTTTTGCCACAAATGCCATGAAGTATCACGTCAATAAACTGCGAGCCAAAGCTTGGGCCGCAGAAACAGGACAGGTGCTGCACCATGCCATTGCGAAAGACACGATATCAAGTTCGGCTTTGCGCGAAAAGCCAGATCTGGGCAAAGAAAAATTGACACCAGGCTTGAACGCCCTAACAACAGAGGGCCATGGAGGCAAACGGCAGGCTTCAAGGCTCTAACAACAAATGCCTGTGGCCAGAGTGCCTGGCACTGGTCGAAGCTGTTCTAGAGGGCCATGGAGGCAAACGGCAGGCTTCAAGGCTCTAACAACAAATGCCTGTGGCCAGAGTGCCTCACACTGCTCGAAGCTGCCGCAGGAGATTTTTAGGGGCTTGAGGGCTGGCAAACGGCAGGCTTGAACGCCTTAAAAACAGAGGGCCATGGAGGCAAACGGCAGGCTTCAAGGCTCTAACAACAAACGCCTGTGGCCAGAGTGCCTGGCACTGCCGCAGACGATTTTAGGGTTTGAGGGCTGGCAAACGGCAGGCTTGAACGCCCTCTAGAGGGCCATGGAGGTGGCCAGAGTGCCTGGTCGAAGCTAGCGCGGAGGATTTTAAGGGTTTGAGGCCTGAACGCCCAGAACAGAGGGCCATGGACAACAAATGCCTGTGGCCAGAGTGCCTGGTCGAAGCTCTCGCGGAAGATTTTAAGGGTTTGAGGGCTGGCAAGGCTTGAACGCCTGAACAACAGAGGGCCATGGAGGTGGCCGGAGTGCCTGGTCGAAGCTGCCGCGGCGGTTAATGGTTTGAGGCCTGGCAAACGGCAGGCTTGAACGCCCTAAGAACAGAGGGCCATGGAAGCAAACGGCAGGCTTCAAATCTCTAATCACAAATGCCTGTGGCCAGTGCCTGGTCGAAGCTGCCGCGGAGGATTTAAGGGCTTGAGGGCTGGCAAACGGCAGGCTTCAAGGCTCTAACAACAATTGCCTGTGGCCAGAGTGCCTGGTCGAAGCTGCCGCGGAAAACTTTAACGGTTTCAGGGCTGGCAAACGGCAGGCTTGAGCGCCTTAAGAAGCTGCCGCGGAAGATTTTAAGGGTTTGAGGGCTGGCAAACGGCACGCTTGAACGCCCTATAAGACAGAGGGCCATGGAGGCAAAGGGCGGGCTTGAAGGCTCCAACAAAAAATGCCTGTGGCCAGAGTGCCTGGCCGAAGCTGCCGCGGAGATTTTAAGGGTTTGAGGGCTGGCAAACGGCAGGCTTGAACGCCCTACTTAGGTGTGTCTTCGAAGTTGTGGCAGTTATAACATAGGTTATAACTAAGTTATGCAAGTTATGAAAGGTATACTTTATGAACTTATTTTGAAGTTACGTTTTTGTAATTTTCACTCTTCAAAAAAACTGTCTGCAAACTTGATTAAAAGCGGATCATCCGCTCCAAAAGAAACAGAGCAGGTCTACCGCTTCAAGGTCAAATGAGCGGGTTTACCGCTTCAAGGCCAAACTCAGCGGGTTTTCCGCTCCAAGAAAATGCAGTACAGGGCAGCGTGGATTTTTTTTTGAAGCTTCATCGAATCAGAGCCAATACCTGCGCGTCTTGAGCAAAGGTAATCTTAAAATAGTTGCCCAAGGAAGTTTCTGCAAGCGTGGAAATAGAATCCAAGTCAGTTGGCCATGACCATTGCGACCAAGCCCATTCTTGTCCATGTCGGATGTGAACGGCCCAGACACCCAACAAGTGAAAGTTGTTGTTTTTCTGCTGCGCTGCTTGGACGTAGAAGCACGCCTGGGTTGATGGGTTTACCACGAAGTCTCCTTGGCCAATCCAACCCCCAACAGCGCTTCTCATGGATTTTCTGATGGCAGCTTCTCCACATGGTTCAATTTTGCCATGCAGGGCAGGACACTTTTTCAAAGCGCATGCTAAATCAATTTGAAGCCACCTGGCTAACGATGATTTTTCCATGTCTTGCAGCCGGGTGATGTTTGGAATGATTCCTCCTTTGAAAGTTTTGTTTTTCCTTTCCATGCAGAAACAGTCAAAATGGTAGCCTGCTTCAGCAACTTGTTCTTCGTGGTGGAACTGAAAGTGATGCTTGGGCCTGCACGCATCTCGCGAGTAGGCACGCACGAACTTGCGGAGGTGATCAGATTGCAGCTGCACCAATCCCGTAGAGGATGCAGCATCTTTCTTGCTATGCATAATCCGCAAGCAAACCATTTGCAAAGCTACAAAGCTTGCTACCTCGTCTCGCATCTCCGTGAACGCTGAGAGCACAAAGTGACAAAAGGCAAACAGTAGCGACATCAAACCTAAGGTTTGCGAAGCGGAGCCAGCCCAGTGAATATCTCCTCCGCTTTTTCTGAAGAGCTTTTTGTTCAAAAGTTGCGAGGTAATGTTTCCGTACAATTTCTGTCCCTTGCAAGACGAAGCACAAACCCAAGACATTTTCGCGAAGTCGCGAACATGGTCTACAGTGACTTTCAGCTTTTGTTCTGCACGTGTCAGCAGCAGACCACATTCCTGCGAAGCAATACCGTTATTGAAAATATTGTGCATCGCATCATAGACAATTCTGCTTGGTTGCAGAAACTGCGTCAAAGACGAATCGTTGAGGAAGCATTGGGGCACATAGTGCCATCCAGAATATTTCCTGTTTCAAGCAGTTCAGCGAACATCTCAACTCAATATATTGTGTACACATGTACTGCAACTGAGCGGATGTCCCGCTTCATGAACACATGTATTTTGATGTGTTGACGTGCAAAGTTTAAAAAAATATATAACATATATGCAGCGCCGGATCGGCATTCTGCCAAGTATCTCAGCTTCATCACGGCGAGCTTTGCTGCCTCTGAAAACTCGTAGATAATCCAAAATGTCAGCCACCCCCTTGTCAGTTTGCAAATCGAACTTGCTGGGATTGTGTTCCCAAATTGTAGCAAAACCAGTCATTTCCGGCAAATGAGACGCAACAACGTTGCGACACTTGAAACAGCAACGCAGCCCTGCTGAACCTTTGCAAGCAATGCTGGCGCGAATGGCCGCTTCGTCAGCAATCATGTAGATTTTGCCTGTGACAACATAGTTGGTTTCTTCACCATGGGAAATGGCAAAGCCAGCAAACATTGGCAGAAGCTGTCTCAAGACGTGTGCGATCAAGGCCGGCTGTTTCCCCTGCAGCTCTTCGATTTCATCGTGCCTCAAAATACAGACTGGCATCCACATTGCTTCATCACCAGTGGCAGCCAGATGACTCCACGTGAAGTATAGCCTTGCATTCGAGGCCATGCATGTTGGATATTATACTTCGTTTCCCACGGCGCAAAACAAAATAAAACAGAATCTGCGTACCGGGTTGCACTAGAGACTTCCGAGCATTATCTGGACGTAATGGGTTTCCAGGGGTTATTTCATCGCAGTAGCAAATGCCTTCAGCAAATGGTCCGTGGAAGTCTCTCAGCGACTCGAAAAAAACCTTGTCTTTTTCACATCTCATTTGGCAGAATTCAGCTATGGATGTTGTCCAAACACTCATCATTTGTCGACCCGTGTGTCGCGGAAGCTCGGAGCACTGTAGCAAATGTAATACATCAGAGAATCGTTGGCAGATATTTTTTTTTTAGCGTGCACTTCAGCATCATCTCTGTCGCTTAGCCGTGCAATAACGGCCCTCAAGTGGTTATCAGCCAAGCCTTTAATGCCTTGGCATTTTTCAAACAGCGCTCCATCAGCCTTCCTTTTCGACATGTACAGGATATTTATATATATATACGAAGTCTTTGAGTGGAAGCCAACGGTAGAACAATTGTTTTGCAACATTGGAGATTACACATATTATAGGAGCGGATGCCCCGCTACAACGTATGCAAAGGGAGCGGATGCCCCGCTACAACGTAACAGAACGGAGCGGATGGCCCGCTACAAGATAACAGAACGGCGCGCATGGCCCACTGGAAGCTCTAACAAAACGGAGCGGATGGGCCACATAGAATATCGGTACAACGCAAATTGGCGGATGGCCCGCTACAAGGAAGCCACTTATTATACCTCTTGAATGGAGCGGATGACCCGCTTCAATGATTCCTATAGATCTACATATAGACACACCTCTGCCCAAGCCTTTCTAGCTCTGGGTCCATGCACGCTGCGTCAGGATGCCCTAATCATACGCCGTGCGCTCAATGGTCTTGCTCAAAGTCGCCATGACCACGCATGTGCTACCCAAGTAGATGCCGACGCGATCCAGAAAGAAATCAATCTGCAGGGCACCAACGGTCATGAGGTCGCTACGACCGACTGCGTCCTCCAAGGCAACACGGCGGGCGGCAGCTGCAATCTCCTCATCATGGCAGCCATATTCTGCAACACCATCAGCCTTCGTAGCCATTGCAATGGAACAGGAGCAATCAGCACGGTTTGCAATTTGAGCTCTCAAACGCTGTGCATCTCCAAATTCAATGCTTGCGGCAAGAAAAAAAAATCCAGCGGCGATTCCGCTCCATGCGTATAGGTTCTGTTGCTATAGACTATAAATCATGAGAAACGCGTTTGAACTCAGCGGTTGGCCCGCTCCATATATACAACTTCGTTTGAAATCAGCGGATGGCCCGCTCCAAACGGGGTCTGCAAAACTGTTCCATGGTACCCTGGTACCCACCAAACACAGCGGATGGCCCGCTATTTTTCACTTTCTATCTCTGCTGCTTCACAGGTTGTATATGGCCATCCTTGACCAACTCATACCAGCTCTCATGGTTTTCAGGCTTGAAATACTTCTTAGAGAAGTATTCCTTGGCTGTTCCACCTCTCTTGCGTTTCCAGCCGTTCTGCTTCTCCCAACGGTCTCTTTGTCTCTTGCTAACTCTCTGGCTGGCCTCCTCAGCTGCAGAGGTCATCCCAACTGCCGAAGAGCTTGAAAGAGCAGATCCACCTGCTTGGAAGCAAAACATGAAAAGTATATACGGTATATATGTAAGATCAACTTGAAAGTTGAAGCAACTCAAATGGAGCAAATGGCCCGTTACAAAATCATATAGATATATGTGTCTATATACGTAAAGTGTTTTGGGATCAAGATATATCAAGATTAAACAAATCCCAACTTCAACTGGAGCGGATGGCCCGCTACAAGGAGCAACCATCACCAGCAACCAGACACAAGCATGGAGCGGATGACCCGCTACAAGAAACGACCAAACAAAAGTGCTTGCAACACCATGCCTGTCGGGTCTGCCCGGGGTGTTTCGGGTCGAGGGGCTGGTGGTCTCGCCTTTGTCTGTTGCACTAGTCGTGGGTTTGGCTGCGCAGGTCTTATGTGGGGCTGCTCAGGTCTTGTCTTCGGCTGGACAGGTCTTGCCTTTGGTAAGGGAGGTCTGAGTTGGGGAGGCGGCGGCTTCGGTGTAGATGGCGCTGTCGCTGGGAAGGCTGCTGGGGTTGTAGGTCTCACCTTTGGTCTTGGTGGCAAAGCGGTTGTACCCGGCCAAGCTGCTTGTTGCTTGGGTTGTGCTACAGCCTCTTTCCAAGAAAGCCGGTTCTTTCTCCACGGAGGTGTGTCATCCATGGCAACATCATGTACGGTACCGAGCTCGTATATAGGGTACAGCTACATGAATTGAGCCGCAGCGGTTGAGCCACAAAAAATCAAACAACTGGTTGTTTCACGACAACATTGGTAACCTTAAAAAAATGCAAACACTGCTGTGAAGGGAGCGGATGGGCAGCTAGCAAAAAGCCAAGACTGCTGCATATAGGGAGCGGATGGCCCGCTACAAACAAAACAGCACTAATGCAAAGGGAGCGGATGGCCCGCTACAACAGAAGCAAACACTGCGGCAAAGGGAGCGGATGGACCGCTACAAAGCTCAATGCTGAAAACATGCACAACTGCGCCACTGGAAGCGGAAGTCCCGCTACACACTAAAAAACAGATTGAAAACTTTTTTTTTGCAGCAGCTCTTTGCAAAGCAAATCTGATCCCTCACTTTTTGAGGCTTGGCTTCTTGAAAACAGAAGAGGACTTAGATCCGCCGCCGCTCTTCACCCCAGGTTTCTTCGCAGGTTTTGTAGGTTTCTTGGGTGCCTTCGGGGTTGCTGCGTCAGGAAAATGCTTGACCAAGAGGACGTTGTTGTTCTTGGCCTGGTACATCCCATGGATGGGCCAAGCCTCTCTTCCCTCCGGCATTGGCACCCTCTGGAACGGATAGAACACGCCCCCATATGCTCCAGCAGCCTTGAAGATCCGTGCATCACCTTCTGTAAGACGTTGCTGCTGCCGCGGAGGCAAGGCAACCCATTCCCATTCGGGAACATGTTCGAAGCTCAAAGGCACATCATTTGGAGCCGTATAGAAAATGGCTTTGTACACCATGGCTTCTAAATCACTTTGTTTTGAGCTGTTGCCAAATCCTGCAAAAAGTGCAGAATGATAAAGATGATGATATACCACAAGTTGGTATACGATTGGTATACGGCCTCTCCTGGCGATCACCTGTGCTCCGTATACGCTTGGTATACGGGAAATTTTCCTTTTGGTATACGGTTGGTATACGGGGCTGTCCTTTTTGGTATACGTATTGAGTTCTTTACATACAGCTTGGTATACGGGCCCTCTCTGGTTCGGTATACGCGCGGTATACGCTGGTATACGGTGTTCCTGTCTTAACGGTATACGGAAAGTATACGCTGGTATACGGTGATCCCCTCTTACATGTGTAGGTTTGGCACGAAAAACAAGAAGTTGAGACGTGAAACTTCCAAGTTATACGCATATCAGGACTCAAGATTGGAAGAGAAAGATTCTAAAACGAAGGTGGCCATAAGCATCCTTATAGATTGGGAAACTTCAACCAATACAAGAAGTTGAACAGTACGACTTCCAAGTGGCGTGTAACATGTGGTCGAAATGGAGCGGATGGCCCGCTACAAGAAGTGAAACACTGCTGCAAAGGAAGCGGGTGGCTCGCTACAAGAAGTTTTTCCTCTGCTGCAAAGGGAGCGGATGGCCCGCTACAAAACGAACACAGTGCTGCAAAGGGAGCGGATGATCCGCTACAAGAAGTTCTTCCTCTGCTGGAAAGGGAGCGGATGGTCCGCTACAAAATTACATCCATCCAGGTCCAGGTTTTCCCCTTTCTCTTAGCAGATTCCCTTTCAATGATCATGCAGCTAAATACCACAAAGATCGCATGCTGGGCTAACATCTAATTGAAAGCCACTGGAAGGCTACCCTAAAGATTTTGAGAAAATATGGTACCGAGCAAGGCAGGGCTAGAGCAGTTTCACTGCTCATTGTTCTTGGTGGCCTCTGCCTGGGCAGCTTCAACCGCTGTCTTGGCCAAGGTTGCCAAGCCGTCGGTGCCAAGATTCTTCACAATTTTGGCCAACTGCTCTGCTTCTGCAGTTGTCGCTCTCAACTCTTTGGCACACTTCTTGGCGTCGAACTCCCAGGGATCGCATTTCTCGCCCTTTGCAGACAACTTCTCTGCATTGGCGATGAATTTCGTGGCAGACTTGATGCTTTCCTTGGCTGCTTGAACCAAGCCTTCCAACGCAACAGGCGCATGGTCAGCCTTCAAAGCTCGCTTGGCTGCAGGGAGCGCGGGTGCCACCACCTTCTCTAAGGCTCTGGCCTTCTTGATCTGTGCCTGGTTCTCCTTTTTGATCTTCTTCTGTTCCCCTGTGAGCTTCTGGGTCTTCTGCTTTTTCACCTTCTTGGCCTTGCCTGTCTTCGACTTCTGACGCTTTGGCACCGAAGATGCTTCTGAGTCACTAGACTCCAAGCTGGCAAGGGACTCCATGTCCACATCATCCTGCTCACCTTCACCATCTTTGGGCGCAGAGCGTTTCTGGCCCCCGACCTTTCTCATTGCTGACTGCACCCGTTCTCGCACAACCTCCTCAATCTTTTCGTGGTCCACCGTGATGGTCGCGACACGGAATACCTTTCCAAACCTGAGATTGCGGGTACCGAATCCACGAATGAAGTGGAGCGGATGGCCCGCTACAAAACGCAAACACTGCTTGAAAGGGAGCGGATGACCCGCTACAAGAGGCAATCACCGGAGCGGATAGCCCGCTACAAAAACTTCTATAAGAATCCAAAGACCCTGTAAAAGGGGTTTCACATTAAACCGAAGGGGCAATGCCGAAGACATCCATTCGGCCTTCTCTTCGATGGCCTTGACGTCGTAGCCTTGTTGCTCGTAGACTGACAGCGGCAGAAAAGATCCACCTGAGGTCTTCCTGGTCAAAGTTCTGTGGATTGTGGTCAAAGTCTCTGTGATCTGAAGCTTGATCTTGTCCAGCTTGAATCTGCCGCCGGCATCTTTGCACATGTGCGCACTCTTGAAAAAGGACACCAAGTCTTCACTTCCTAAAGTCTGCCACCCAAGAGCTTGCATGTCGAAATTCTTGTACAACATCGTGCAAATGTTGTGGCATGCCTGGCAAGTCAGAGACCGGTGACCTTTCTTTCGAATCACCTTCTCAATCTTTGTGTCAACAAGCTTCTTGCAATGGTGGCAGTAAGCCTGACTGGAGTTGTAACTGTCAAGCTGTTGCCAAGTCATCCCCTCCATCGGTTGAACCACCTGAGAAGCGTCAGTGACAGGCACAAGGGCACCATTGCGCTTGTCATCTTGGCTCCCTCTTCCCTCCTCTAGAGTCTCTGAAGCCTCTGGAGTTGACAAGGATTGGTCGGGGCCTTTAGCATCGGCCTCGGTGGCTGCAACAAGTTGCGAGGCATCCCGGACCTGGTCATCAGTCTTGGTCAAGTCCTGGGAGTCGACCACCACAGCAGCCATTGCGGAATCCGGACCCTTGAGTTTCCTGACGGGGGGTTGCTGCTGCCTATGGTGCTTAGCGTGTAGCATCGAAAGAGAAAATCAGACTACCAAAGATTTATGTGAGCGGACGGTCCGCTTCAAGTGATCACATTGCTTCGAACTGTCCCCGACGTGCCTGCAGCGGGTTTTTCCGCTCCATGTATTCTATGCATCTATGTACTGTATGTATATATGTGTTTAAAAACCAATATTATAAAGATCTTCTGTACATATATTCAGCGGATGCACCGCTCCGAAGTGGACATCTGTGCTTGACAGTTGGTAACAACCAATAACTCATTCGTTGGATTTTTGCAGGAATCACGCAGTCCTCTGCGAATTTAGCGGCAAGACGCCGCAGAGAAATTAGGGCAAACAGTTACATATCATTTGGATTAAATTGCTTTGCAAAGAAATCAATCATCGAAGTACTGCGCAGGAAGCCGCCTCAGTGTTCCAGGCTGGACGTCTTTGAGACTCATCTCAGATTCGACCAAGTGTTGATCCCCTCGGCGCTGCAGCTCCTCCATGATTCTTGAACACAAGAAGTCAGCGTGATCCATACTCAGGAACGTCTGCCTCAGCGCCACAAAGTTGCTAGCCAACTTTTTGCTAGGGTATCTTCTAATCAGCGACTCTTGCTGCCTCGCCACGGCACTCTGCTCCATGAGTGGTCACACGGAAACAAAAACAGAAGTGCCTGCTGGAGACTGTCACGCTGAAAGCGGAAGGTGGCCTTCCCACATGAGAGTGTAAAAAAAAGGGATTCATATGGTTATATAGCGGGTTTGTCCGCTCCACGCTTTGCCTGTAGAATACCTTCAAAGAATTTGCTGCAGAAAAAAAGGTCAGCGGATGGCCCGCTCCAAGTTGCGCAAGGAAGCATCGCTGATAGTGGTGGCACACGGAAATGTGACTTTACAGCGGGCAAACTCCAAATCTTTCTCACACAAGCATGTGGTAATCAACATGCGTTCTTTTGCCAGAGCTTGTGAACTTGTTCCATGCAGACTCGTTTTGCTTTGCAAACGTTGTCGCACAACGCCTGAGCAGCTTGTATCTAGATGCTTCGAGGCCAACAAGTGGAACAGACCACTTTGATACCATGTAATTTTGATTGAACGAAGTAAACCATGAAGGTGATTGAATTTTGCATGAAAAAAAATCAGGCGCTTTGCACCTGCAGATCCCATTGCTCTGCAGCTGACTTGTGAGCTGCACGTGCAATCTCCTTCGCTGCCTCTTCGGCGGTTCCCGCCTTCAAAGATGCTTGCAAGGCCCGGTGGTAAGCTCGAGAAGTGAAGCGCTTTCGGGTGTCCTTGGCTGCATCCACAACCTTCTCAGGCTCTGCAGCAGGAACTCTCTTCCTCTGGGGTGCCTTCTTGCAGGGTCCTTTCTTTTTCGATGCCTTTGGCTTTTTCTTCTTTCCGTCATGCTCGTCCTTCTCAGGTGCCTTTCGCTTGCCGGCATTGATTTTGCCCTGCAAATTCGCAATCTGAGCTGCAACAGTCAGAGATGCCTCTTTCCCAGGTGTTGCCCTTGGGACGACGGCTTTCTCTTTGGCCAATGACTTGACCACTTGCAATCTTTCAGGTTCCTTCTCCGAGGCCATCTCGGACTCGGGCTTGCTGGGCTGACTGTCCACCTTGTCGGACGTGGTGGATTGACTGTCAGTCAAACTGGCTTGGGAGCTTGAGCGGGTCAAATCTTTCAACGGGAGCGAAAGATTGCTAAGTGTCTTGGTGTTGCCCTCTTTCAAAAATTTCACCTCCAACTTGCCTCCAACTCATCAGTCTTATGTACTGCAGGATGGCTTCTTGGAGGCCGTTGACCATTCCACTACCCAACTTTGGTACCTTGGTGGCAGCGTTGGAGCTCCTCATTGGGATCAGGTCCACCCTATGCTTCAAGCAGCCCGGGTCAAAGGCCGGCTCCACAGGCTCCAGCCTCAAACGAACAAGGCCTTGTAGCAAAAAAAGTTAAATTCTCATGAAATGAAATTATAGAATGTATATGTGTTATACGAAAACATGAAATATACAAGATCGAGTAGCTCGCAAAAGACTACCTGGTACTCCCAACTGCCCAAGTCGTGGCGAAATCCCAAAAATCTTGAAATTAGCTTGGGGGAAGGCTTTTGTGGAAGTCGTGGCGATGCGGCGTTTAGCTTGTGTTTAGGGTAGGTTGCTGTTTTACTATCTCATGTAGACCTAAAGTGGCGAAGCGGCGTTTAGGTTGTGTTTGGGGTAGGGCGTTGTTTTACTATTAGCATAGTGCTTTAATCTTGCTAGTTGCGTTCTCATTGTGTTTGGGATGGTTGCTGTTGGGTTCTGCAGCTACTGGCGTCTTGCTGTTGCTGCGGCTGCTGGTTCGACGGCTGCTGCTGTTGCTGTTTCCGGGTACTTCTACACAACGCTGGGATTATCATCTCTACACTGCCATGGCGGTGTGCTGGGATTCTGCAAATTGTCATTGTTTCGCTACCAGTGATCCAAGGAAGGGCAGGTTTGCGGCTTGCGGGCCAAAGTCCATGTGTGTAGATGCGGGGCTTTTTCCGTACCTCGTTTTGACCTCGTTTTGGACCTCGTTTTTTTTCCTTTATCAGAACCCATCCTGCAGTATACAAACTAGGAAAAGGGCCTGCTTCGCGTTTTTGTTTGTGGGCGTCAACAGTGCCCACGAAAAAAGGCCCGTTGGAAACCGGCGTTCCGATGGGATTCGATCAAAAACGAATAGAACATAATAGAACCATGATAGTTTGGTCAAGGCTTGTTAAAGCTAGCGTTTCCAATGGGGAAAGGGGTTTTGCAAGGTCTGTGCCGGGACAGGGGTCGTGGCGAGCGTTTTGATTGGGAATAGCTGTCAAACGCAAACATTGCAAGGACTTGGGCGTATGGGTGTAGATCTCTTCGGGAAGCAGCGCTGGCTTATCTGGGAGACTTGCCAGAAAGAACAATCCATCCACCTTGAACTTTTTGAGAAGCTTCTTCACAATTGGCTTCCACACCTGCAAGGTATCATACATCTCAGAGCCACTGGGTGAATTCATATTCCATTCTGTGTGGAAGAGAATCGCCATGAGGAAAGCGATGGTAGGCTCAGAAGGGCATTCCAAGCCGAGTCCTGCCAGATGCTTGCACAACTTCTGGCAAAGAATCTGCCGAGCAGAGAAAGAATGTCCCGGCTCCAACCGAAGGATATCAGCCCACATGGGTTTGGTGAGGAAGAAAGCCATGTTGGTAAAGTCTTGCATGGAGCGGCGAGACTTTGCGCCAACCTCTGCCTCCTGCACCACTTTCTCTGCAATCTCAGATTGCAGCTGGGTCTTCTGATCTTGCTTCAAATCCAAACCTTCGATCATTGAGACCAAAGTAGGCACCTCTGGAGTTGTCAAACCCCTCAGGTTCACCACTTTGGTGGTGAGAAGGTCAAACTGCTTCTTCTGCAAGGTGGCGAAGTTGGGCAGCTTGCTGCAGCTGTCTAAAAACTTCTGGGCGCCCTTTAAGTGCTGCTCCAAGGCGGACGCCATGTCACAACTCAGAAGCCTGAAGCAAAAACTGAGCAAAACTGCTGCGTGAGCGCAATTTAAATCATTCAAACGCTTCTGCTGTTAACTTCGCCGGACGTATATGAAAAAAAAAGAAAGCGGAGGACCCGCTCCAATTCAAATGCAGCGGTTGACCCGCTCCCAAGAAAAACAACAGTCCTCAACAACTTTTAAGCGGAAGACCCGCTCCAATCTTCCAAGAAATTGAAAGGTTGCAACAAGTGGGACAAAACACAGCCAAACAGAAGTTATGATTTCTAGTTTTTTTAAGTTAAAACGAAGTTACGAGAAAGAAGTATAACTAACTTAGTAACATCAAGTTACTAAGTTCAACTTATAACTACCATAATATATGTTATAACCTATGCTATGGAACTTATAATATATGTTATAACCCATGTTTTAACTGCCACAACTTCCAAGACACACCTAAGTAACAACAGAGGGCCATGGAGGCAAACGGCAGGCTTCAAGGCTCTAACAACAAATGCCTGTGGCCAGAGTGCCTGGTTGAAGCTGCCGCGGAGAATTTTAAGGGTCAGAGGGCCATGGAGGCAAACAGCATGCTTCAAGGCTTTAACAACAAATGCCTGTGGCCAGAGTGCCTGGTCGAAGCTCCTGCGGAGGATTTAAGGGTTTGAGGGCTGGCAAACGGCAGGCTTGAACGCCCGAACAGCAGAGGGCCATGGAGGTGGCCAGAGTGCCTGGTCGAAGCTGCCGCGGAGGATTTTAAGGGTTTGACGGCCTGGCAAACGGCAGGCTTGAACGCCTAAGAACAGAGGGCCATGGAGGCAAACGGCAGGCTTCAAGGCTCTAACAACAAATGCCTGTGGTCAGAGTGCCTGGTCAAAGCTGCCACGGAGGATTTTAAGGTTTGAGGCCTGGCAAACGGCAGGCTTGAACGCCCTAAGAACAGAGGGCCATGGAGGCAAACGGCAGGCTTCAAGGCTTTAACAACAAATGCCTGTGGCCAGAGTGCCTGGTCGAAGCTGCCGCGGAAAATTGTAAGGGTCAGAGGGCCACGGGGCAAACGGCAGGCCTCAAGGCTCTAACAACAAATGCCTGTGGCCAGAGTGCCTGATCGAAGCTGCCGCGAAGCATTGAGGCATTTGAAGCCAACAAAAACAAGCTCCACACCTGGGGTGGTCCCAGGCGCCGCTCCTGCCTTGGCGAAGGCCGGGGTCGGCGGATATACTGTAATGGTAAATATAAGTACTGTGTTTAGAATATATTGCTTTTAATTTATATATATTTATTTAAAATATATTGTCATTATAGTTTTTTATAGTATATGGTACGTCGGAGTTCTTCCATGTTCTTCCTACTCTTTGTATCTTTGTGGAAATTGTGCGTCTGGATAGGAGGCTCTCAAGTTTGGATACTGGTGCTTGAAGTCACTTAAAGTGGCTTCGAATTGTTCTGTCTTTGTTCGTTCTTTCGGATTGGCCCGCTTAAAAGGGTTTGAATTGGTTGGAGACTATGAATTTAAATGCGGGATTCGCCTGCTTGCAAGAAAAACCATGGCTTGCGCATGCAGTTTCGACCATCATCATGAGTTCGCTCCATTCAAGCGTTGGCTGCATTTAACTTCGTCCACAAAAAGAACGAATTTCACTTCGTTGGGAAGACAAAACATTAACCCTGTGTCAGTAAAGCATAGTAAAGCTATATGTAAAGCTGCAAAGTCAATTGCAAGTGCACAGCGCAACCAGAGGTTTAGAAGGTCTTATCGCAGTCGCAATGATGGTTTACAAGATGGTACAAGCAAAATCTTCCAAGTTTTCGAGAAATTGTGCAAGCATCAGTCCTTGTCCTTGCCTCCTTGTCACCCTCAGATGAATGCCTGTCCCTTGCGCAACTGCAATGGAGCTGTCAAAACAAGATCATTTTGCGCTGGTGGAGCTGCTGCTATATTCCAATCACATCAATGGCTTCCAGTGGATAGCAGGCATGCCTGTCCCGTTAAGTCCTGCATTTTCTCCTTTACATCTTTTACACAGCTGTTTGGACTCCCAGCGATTGAATATTTTCCACGGTTTCATGCCGTTGGATGCGTTCGCGGGTTCCTTGGTGCAATTCAAGGTGTTGGCGGATTTGTATTGGGCTGCACGGTCATCACAGTCCATTTAGGCCTGAGATTCCTCGTCTTGCGCTCTCACCACGGCTTGCAGGCCCATTTCTCGGCTTACACGACTCTTGCTGACGCTTTGCTTTGTAAGAAGCATCGCCGCTCATGATCGCATCTTGGTTTGCAAGTGTTTTGTAGGATCATGCAAAGTTAATCAGTAAATTCCAAATGCCCCTGTGTTGCAACAATCCTGCACGGGTTCTGTAGAACTGTATATATATATATTTATATATTGATAACTCAATCATATTATTTAATAATGTGATTATAATAGTATGTATATATGTATATATGTATATATGATAGTGATATATAGCAATTGATAAAATATAATTATGATTAATGAATATTTATAACTGTAATGTATAATTGATTATAGATTATCGACGGAAGTTTAGAAGTCAAACTTCCGACAATATGGACAGATGAAAAGCAGAGCTGGGCAGAGGCAGAGAGAAGACAAGAGTAGAAGAGAGCAGATCAGAGAAGAGAAAGAGTCAGAAGAAAGAAGATGCAGATTCGCGAAAAGGTAGGAAAGTCGCGAAACACTGTGTTTTGTCCAACGATTTGTGGCTCCGGAGGGTCGAAAAGTAGGCTCGCTAAAGCGGCGGGTGCGGAGCCATCTGGCCAGATGAGAGATGGAAAAGTGCACGCTGTTGTGGCGCGAAGCACATTTGTAAGTGAAAAAGCTAAAAGCACCTGACGTCCGGACCACTTTTGGAAGTTGCGATGTCGAAAAAGTGCACGCCGTTGTGGCGCGAAGCACATTTCGAAGTCAGAATGTACAAAGCACACCAGGGTCGGACCACTTTTGGAAGTTGAGATGTCGAAAAAGTGCACGCCGTTGTGGCGCGAAGCACATGTCGAAGCCAAAATGTACAAGACACCACATGCCCGCGCCACTTTTGGATACTTTTGGAGGTTCAGATGTCGTTTCGCCTGGCAGGCGCAAGGGCTTGTGCACCTTGTCAAAAGTTGGTAAAACGTGAGGGTTTTGTCGCATTTCCAAAAACCATGGCAGGCGTGGGGCATTTGAAGAGGATCTGCAAAGATGCATTTTCCGTGGCAGGCGCAGTACAAAAGACATGTTCATGAGAGATGTTAGGAGGTCAGGGCGCTGATTTCCTGAGAGGGGTTGCATTTTGGAGCATCAGATCTGTAGGTTTGCTAAGATGATTTTGCGTGACAGGTGCAGCACTTCGTATGACCTGGTATCATTTTTTGTGGCAGGCGCAATACTTTAGACAGGTGGAGTGGAAAAATCGCAAAACGCATTGGTACGAGGCTGTCAGCGCTGCACTTAACTTTCCATGTTTGAAGGAAGTCTCGCAGAATTGCTTTGTTTTTGATGTTGTCATGTTCAAAAATTGAAGAAGTCTCGCAGAATTTCTTCGTTTTGGATGTTGTCAAGTTCAAAAGCTGTAGACGTCTCGTAGACTTGTTTCGTTTTTGATGTTGTCAACGTCGAAAAATGAGGAAGTCTCGCAGAATTGCTTAGTTTTCAAGCTTGTAGATAGACAGGTGGATAGACAGACAGACAGACAGACAGACAGACAGACAGACAGACAGACAGACAGACAGACAGAGAGAGAGAGAGAGAAAGAGAGAGAGAGAGAGAGATAGATAGATAGATAGATAGACAAATAGATGGATGGATAGATAGACAGACAGATAGATAGATAGGTAGATAGATAGATAGATAGACAGACAGTAAACAGATAGACAAATAGATAGAGAGACAGTTTTATCGATAGATAGACGGAGAGATAGACAGATAGATAGATAGACAGACAGATAGATAGATAGGTAGATAGATAGATAGATACATAGATACATAGATAGATCGGTAGGTAGGTAGGTAGGTAGGTAGGTAGGTAGGTAGTCAGAGAAAGCGAGAAAGAGAGGAGACCTCAACCACCTTCGGTCCATCAGTGGATTCGCTCTGCCATCCGTGATTCACAACAACCAACCTCTCCTATAGGTTTCCTATTTTTAAAACTTCCGCCACCGCCTTGTGCGGTACTACTGGTACAGGCCACCGACAGTTTCGATCTCTCCTTGAATCCTTTCCCAAGTAGCCTAGCCCCAGGTATGCTCCAAGAAGAGGCCCGGATCGCGGCCCGGGTAGTTTGTGCAAAAACTCGAGTCTAACATACTGTTTCGGCTGCTTCGGGCATCTTTGGGCATCTTTGTGCATCTTGGGGCCCGTTGTTTTCCCGCAGGTACATTTTTTTAACGTCAGTGATTTGCATGTGGAACTTGTTCTTGCTTGCTAGATTTTGCTCTATATATATACGTTCCAAAGAGCTATGCCGTTTTAATATGTTTCCTGGAAACTGGAAGTTGCTCCCTGTTCTGTTTGTTGATTGCTAATTAATTTGAGAGAATTGCGTGGGTCCGCAAAGGCTAAATTCTAGCAGCCTTGAGAAATGTGACTCCATCTTCCTTTGTCGACCAGTGATCCTGGTTTTGCTGCAGGTGATACCTGATGTTGAATTTGATATCCGAGCCACAGACACACCACGACTTGGTTTGCATGGGGTGGTGTCAGGCTGGTTTTATGTGAAAGGTTCCTTGGATAGACATTGGAATGTTTTGCAAAGCCGACTCCTTCGAGGATGAACATTGATTATAAGTGTCTTGAGATGTCTTAAAAGTTTTAAGAGTCGTAAGTTTTATGATTATGTTCAGAAGAAAGAGGAGAAGAAGAAGAAGAACAAGATGAAAGAAACCTCTTTGACAGTTGACAATCACCGTGGTGCAGATTTTAAGTCCATGTTGTATCATATTGTGATACATATTGTGTTTTCATTGTTTTGCTATCTGATCTGTCGGCACCGGATCTTGCAGCACAGTCTTTATGCTGCCTGCATTTTTGGAGATGGCAGTGAACAAGAAGATCAAGAAGATCTGGGGATGACTACTTCCTGCGACAAGATGCTGAAAAGGAGAATGACATGCAGAACGCATTCTGAAATTCTACCAACAGACAAGAGATACACGGCACTTTGAGAAAACACATATCATATCAGCATACAGAGCTAGGTCCAAGATCGGTGCTAGAGGGCTTAGCGAGATTTCAAGAATATATGGTACGGTACGGTTGGTACATGTGTTTTCCCTGGTACGTACGCTTGGTCCGGTTGGTTGGTACGGTTTGTACGGTTGTTTGGTACAGTTGGTACGGTTGGTTGGTGCGGTTGGTGCGGTTGGTGCGGTTGGTACGGTTGGTTGGTACGCTTGGTACGGTGGGTACGGTTGGTTGGTACAGTTGGCGCGGCATGTGTGGTACGCTCGGCGCGTTTGGTACTGTACAGTTGGTACAGTTGGTACGGTACATTTGGTACGCTTGGTATGTTTGGGACGGTGCGGTTGATGCGGTATGTTTGTCAAGCTTGGTAAGCTTGGTACGGTGCCGTTGGTAGGTTCCGTGCAGTGAGGTCGTTAAGTTTGATAAGTACATAAGGTTCAGCATCATTTCGTTTGGTGCCGGGGCTGTTCGTTGGTTTGCTTGGTACATTTGGTACTCTTGGTTTGCTACATGTCGTATGCGTTGTAGGTGCGGTGGTGGCACGCTGCAGGTTCTACATGCGTTTTTTGATGTTTTTTGATGTGACACGGTCGGTACATATGCGTTGCTTAAAGCAGCGCAGTTTGTGATGTATCTGCATGCAATTGTGCAAATGCATGTGCTTCATAATTTTGCTGATAGCTGCTTCCTGTTTCATTGCTTGCTTAAAGCTCAGGGAATGCGTTGGTGTAGAAAGTATAGGCATGTCACGGCATGTCCTTGAAACTTGAAACTGTGAGTTCAGTTTTTGGCAAAGACAACTGAAACTAACTCGCTCATGATGCTGTTGCTTGTTCACCTCGGTCCAAAACAGCGTAGTGCATGGTAGAAAGCATGTAACGAAAATCGGCAAAACGTTCGCCAGGAATGAAGAGCGGTGAAAGGAAAGACTTGACTGATATGCGTGGGAGGAAAGTGCAGGGCTAGTGGAAGGGTTTTTTTGGGTCAGTTTTCCGTCAGCATTCAAGGTTGGAGTTGGAACCTGGGATTCACCATTGCTTGGTCTTGCTATTGACCCGCCTCGGCTCCACAGGATCTCCGAAGGCAGAATCAAGCCCTATTTCAAAAAATCATTCGCCCGACAATACCTGGAACTCACAGGGCTACATGCTGTACCCATGCTCCATTAAGATTTGGTTCCAAGAACTACCTGGTATGTGAGTTGGCTGCGAAACAGGGCAGCAGTTTCGCCAGCAATGATTGAAATTCAACTTTCCTGCAATTTCCATCTTGCAAACCACGACTGAGCAAGTTGAGCGGGCATGTCGGTGAGGCAGCCAAACAGATCCTTCCCGCCGCACGCCTCATGCTGAGGCCCCTCAGGATTCAGCAAGCCCTCCACCCCTGGACATCACAATCACAGACCTGTCGAGCCTGAAAGGGCGCTTTAAAGCCAAAAAGCCAACACAAGCCTGCACGACCGACAAAGACACATCATCCACCTATAAGACCGTTTCATGAAAGGAAGTGTTGATTTCGCCGGCACAAGACTGTGCCAAAGCCTTCAAGGAATGAAATTTAAGACAAAAGTTCGAAGACAGAGTTTGGGAAACCCGCCCCATTGGACACCAAAATGTTTTGGCCCCAAGACTTCCTAGCACAAACCCCAATCCTCATGCAGCCTCCTACATTTTCGGACCCTTCAGCCCATCAAACTATATGGGCCAAAATCCCAGGTCAGTTCTGGTGAAAAGTGTCATGGGAGGTGCGCACATGTCATGCGGGGCAACCCAGTTCCTGCATCAGACGCAGATGATCGAAACGTGCTCCTGCATGTCTGGCGGAATTTCTTTTTCAGAAGCTTTTTCCGGATATATATATATATAAATATTAAGTGATTTTTTGAATTTTGTTCCTCTTGTACCAAGGTTTGGTAGCAGTTGTTTGCTGTACTAACTTCCCGGCAACCCCATTGGTCAGACACCTGCTATGCTATGCCACAGGCGCCTGCAAACTTCCAAGGTCAGGCGTCAAGGGGCCAAGGGGTTTCAAAGGCGCCGTGGAGATTAGGGTACGGGCTAAGGCGGTTTTTTCGATCCAAGAGTTCTGAGACAAGGGGTTGTGTGACTGGAAGGAGGAAGCCAAGATTCCAAAGGATCTTTGTATTAGAAAGAGCCTCGGATTGCCATGGGTTCCATTACACTGAGAATTCAAAAACAAAAACAACCAAAATTGCAAATTTAGCCCGCAAAACTTTGACAAATCACACCTCCCAAGGGACCACTGCCAGCATGGACAAGAACTCATGCCCACACGGTTTCTGTTTTGCTTGAACTTGTCTGAACGCCCGGGCTTGTAACATTAGACCTTTGGCTTACGCAGCTGACAACTCAAGGTATGCAAGTTGAAGTGTTTGAGATCCGTCTTGGTATGTGCATCTTAAAGACATGAAAGCATATTTCGTATTTCGATGTATTTGGCATGAGCAGCTTGACATCTGACATTCAAGCCGCAATGATGCAAGTGCTGTGCCTTTGTTCTGCCTGCGCGTTGTTTCACATGCACCTCACTAAACCACTCGCTTGTTGTGAAATCGCGCCCTGCTTCCTATGTTTGGACTTGTGCCGTTGTTCGGTCGATGTTGCTGATTCCTGGCCCACCAGCCTGGTAGAACTCACCCTGCTAAGATTTGACAAGGAAACCCAAAACATGATGGGTTGGATTCCTTTGTCTTAACCCTTGATTGAGAACTATATTCTATGTGCGGCTTTTCCTGGCACCCAAGCACCAAAACTGGGATGAAAGGCAGAACCTCAAACCTTTGCAAGCCTTTTGTTTGAATTCCTTCAGTCCTTTGTTCATGCTTGCTGCTTTTCCAAACCAGATCGATACATAGAATTCAGGATGCAACATGTGTTCCTTGTCTTTCGCGTGCAATTCATCATCATCTGATTGCTGCATGTCATCTATCTAGCCTTCGCTCAATTGCAAGCCATTCTGGCCATCATGTCTTCAAAACAAGGCAAGATTGTGTGTAGCCCGCAATCTTTGTGAAAAGTACCGCACATATACTACACCAGTGCAAGCACTAGCACCAAGTTCCATGAGCAAAGCAACTGTTTATACCCAGCGCACCGAGCGCACCAAACAGCCGTACTAAGCAGGCAAAAAACCGTACCACACAACCGTACCAACGAACTGTACCAGGTTAAGGGGGGAGTTAAGGGGGGGGGCGTTTTTCCGTACCAATACTAATATGGTACGGAAAAACGCCCCCTCCTTAACTCCCCCGTTAACATCCCTTAACCTGGTACGGTTCGTCGGTACGGTTGTGTGGTACGGTTGGTACGCTTCAAGCTGTGCGGCTGGTACGCTCGGTACGGTACGATGGTACGGTTGCTTTCTGGTTGCTACGCTTGGCATGCGGTCCACGTCACTACAAGGACGGTTGGACGGGGGTTAAGGGCGGCGGTTTCCGTAACCCCGCCTGAACCTGGTATTGTGCTCTCGTTGGGCTTGGTAGTACGCTGGGTATTATAAATAGGTTTGTTTCGGCGTGCTTGATTGCGACCTTGATACTTATAGTCCATGTATCTGGTGCAACTTGTCTGTGGCACGCTTGGTAGGCTTGGTGTGGTTGCCGCAGCTCGTTTTGGCGAAGAAATCTAGCCCAGATGGATCGTCTGGTGCTCGTTTCCAAACAAGGTGCCTAGCAGAGTCACCTGCGGAAACCAACCTTGAGCAGAACGTGAGCTGCAGAAAGCAAAGTAGTTGGAACAGCAGTTTGAAGCACAACGTGTTATAATCCAAACGCCGGCCAGGAGTAATTAGGTATATATACAAACAGCCAAAAGGTAGTCCCTGATGCGCAACGACTAGGGGTATGAGATGGTATGAGGAAATCATGCATCTGCGTGAAAGAAGCAGAATCGTTCGATTTGAAGGCAGATCTCATCTTCTTCCAGCAAATAAGAGAATAATGTTTTCATTTCCTTGCTTGCAGGCTGCATACTAGGCTGAGTCGCTGGGAATCTGGGAGTCAACAACAGCAAGTCGCACAATTCAATATTCCCACATCAACACATGGTTTGTTGCGCGCAACGGCAAACAGCTTCACTCTGACGGGCCACAGAGCGCGTTTCAGCCTGCAAACTGCAAAAGATCATGTTTAGTAAGTTTAGTAGGTCCTGCGATTTCCTTTGCAAGAATTGATGACTGCAAGGTTAAGATAGATTAAGCACATTTCCGAAGTGACACATGCACATGATCAAGTGCCAAGTGACTGCGACTGTTGCCAATTCACAGGAACGAAAGTTGGCCACCAAAAAAATGCTGCAAAACAAGGCCCGCCACCGCTCGCCAAAACCTCCGCCACAGGACCCCGCAATCGCAGAACTTTCAAGAGATATACAGAGCGCTGCAAAGCGTAGACACGCCCAAAGCTTGGAGCCCCCTTCCGTAAGAGCAATGCAAGAACCACACGACCGGCGACCCAGACAAATCCACCTGTATTAGAACTGCATCGTCGAAAGCATGGCCTTTATCGTTTCGCAGTGGCG